TTGTTTTATTGTCTTTAGATATTTTCAGGATTTTTTTGCCTCAAACGTTTACAACACAGAAAAAAGGACTCCTAACAGAATGTTATCATCTGAAAAACCGACTTAGGAAATACACTCACACAGACCTGGAGGTTTGTTCGAAAACAGAAATCAGGGATGCGCTGGTGTGATGCCAGTGAGTTACCGCTAGTTTCCCAAAAACAAGAAAACGTCGCAAATTTACCTAAAAGCTGGTAAAAGAATCACTTTCTAAATAGATTTGTGGAAGTTTAATCATCCGTATTCCTCTGCTAAATGCTAAGTTTTATTTTTTTAACTGTTTTTCCCAGTGATGTAGACATTAGTGCACAACCAGAACTACGTGGTCATCTGTGCACGGAACTGAATCTGGATGTTTCTGATTTTCTGCTCAGCGCGGTCTCCTACACGCAGGACTGCTGACTCACCTCCATGACGAAGCACTTCTCACGAGAGTCTCCTTTCTCTACAGTCACCTCATACTTCAGGCTGCGGCGCTTTTCATTCAGCTCCATCACCGGATTTTTGCCATTTTTGGTCAAGATGTGACCCACCCCACCCTGTTCACAACAAAAACAGCAGTAGCTAAAATGTTTCATCGCCCCTGAGGGAGTTTATTATGAGGGTTTGAGGGGAACGTGCCTCGTCTGGCTTTGCAGCTGCGACTGGAGGATCATCTGGTGTCGTGGCGTTCTCGGCTTCACCGCTGGGTTCAGGTTTTGCACCTGTTGGGAGACCAAGATCAAGCAGAACCTGTGGAAAACCAAAACGTTCACTAAGCTGGGTTCAAACCTAAAATACGACAAGTTCAGCCAAAGCGGTCCATAAAAATATAGATAAAAAAATAAAACACAGTTGATTTTGTTTGACTTATCTTATCTTGCAGATAAGACCAACATTTCATACCAAAGTAAAAGTCATTAATAAAGTTCTGATTTTTTCCACAACTTTCTCACTAGATCAAACGTCATCAGCCTTGCCTTGGTTGCGAGGTTTAGCTTGGCGGCTCGTTTGGACGGTCCCGTCGCTTCGTATGTCTTCCCATTTAGATCCACAGCCATTGTGAAAACTGGCACATGGACCGGACCCGTTTGGGATAAGAGCCGGTACTCCAGGCGAGGGTTGAACTGGTTTAGACGCATCACAGCATTTACGTTTGGATCGTCTGTAACTACAAACAAAAGGTATAAAGATAATAACACAAGTGTTATTTTGTAGAAACCTCCACTTTATCAAAAACTCCTGGCTTGATTAAGGTGAGAAATTATAATAAAATACTTTTAAAATCAGCAGGGGCGTCTCCAGAAAATTTTGATGGGGTGGCCAGATGGGGCCAAACACATTTTTGGGGTGGCACACCAAATTGAACCTTGTGGTAACTCTGGGAGAGTTTAGCCTGTGGCGATGTGCTGCATTGCTCCTTTATTAATTTTTATTAAAAAAGCAGTACGTATTGAAAACATTTAACTTAAATTTTACAAACACAAACATTTCAGAAAAGTATATTTCAGTTTTTTAAATGTTATTCCAATTTTAATTTACAAATTTATTGTTTTAGTTTAATTCACCTGTTGCTGTGTTCACAAAAAAAAAAACTATGGAGATAAAAACTTTTTTTAAATGGTGAGGAGCAGAAAACATATGTATTTATTTATTCTGATTATTTCTTTACTTATTAATTGTATTATTTTCATTTTGGTTTACAATTATGTCTTGAATAAACAAGATCAATATGTGGTTTGACTGAACATTAATATGATTTATTAAAACTTACTTTTCCTGGGGGCCCAGCACTTTTCTAGGGGTGGCCATGGCCACCCCTGGCCACCCCTTGGAGGCGCCCTTGAATATCAGATTTTTATTGGCTAAAGATTTTGTCCCACCTCTTTCAACAAAATGGACCAACCTGTGTAGGTGCTGATCAACCTTTGACCTTTCAACATTGCTGTCTTGCACTCGGACCCACAGAGTTAAGAAAGCAGCTAAAATGCTAATGTATGTTAGCGCTGGACAGATTTTAATATCCTCCTCCCACCGTCTTTTGTAGTAGGCAGAAGGATTGTAACGGTGTCCTGTTTGAGCTGTGACAGCTGGTGTTCACTTAAAAAGACCTCAAAAAGTGGATTAGCGTGAACGGATCGCATCATCCATCTATAGTCGCAACGTAAACAAGCATTTGACAAGAAGTAGGTCACATATTTCACGCAAAGGATCTTGGGGGCGAGGGATAGGGTGTTTCGGCCCTGTCCCAATACTCACACTGCACCCTACGGTCCTCAGCGAAGTGCACTTGGAGGAAATGTGCAGTAAGGCTTTGAGCGGGTAGGACACAAGTGTGCAAACAACTGCTGAACTGAGAGAGTGAGCATTGTGTCACTGGCCACACACTGGTGTCTGTCCGTGCAACTTTTTTTTAATCTTTATTAACAAATTTCAAGCAAACAGTTATTTGACTTAAGTCGCATTCGTTGATGTCCACATTAAAGTTTAGTTAAATCTTTTTTCTGACAGGAAGCAGAAAAAAAAACTTTCATGTTTAATCTTAACGAGTGCTGTGATTGGCCCACCAATCCAATAGAGGGCTGTGATTGGCCCACCAATCCGATAGAGTGCTGTGATTGGCCCACCAATTCAATAGAGTGCTGTGATTGGCCCACCAATCCAATAGAGGGCTGTGATTGGCCCACCAATCCGATAGAGTGCTGTGATTGGCGAGCACCAACTAACAGAAATGGCGGCGTCCGACACCGCAGCTACGCGTACCAAACCATCTAAAGTTTGGGAGCATTCTAGCCGGGATTCGGCGAATAAAAAGATGACCTGCGTTATTTGCAAAGCAGTCCTCGTATATCACGGCAGCACCTCGGGGATGCACGAACACTTAAAGAGAAAGCATGTTGGACAGTTGAATGAAACAGAGTCTGACTCACCTCGGTAAGATTTAAATAACAGGAAAGCCAACACGTTTTGTTTTGGATGGACATTTTTTAAACGTATTTTCACTTTTAAAAAGAGATTTAATGTTATGCCCGACTGTGTCTGACAAAAGTATTTTAGTTTTATTTATGCATTTATGTCTGTACTGACTGGGCACTGTGCCTACTTGGTGTTAAGACATTTTTATTTACTTTAGTATGAATCGGCCTATCAGCAGCAGAGTTCAATAAAATATGCATTTTTCCATTGAAGTACCCATCTTTCTCGTGTTTATTATAACTTTTCACACAATTAAAGCAATCTCATGCTAAATTTAAGCAAAACTGAATAATTATCCGATTAGTCGACTAATTGTTTCAATAGTCGGTGACTAGTCGACTATTAAAGTAGTCGTTAGTTGCAGCCCTAAACCAGAAATAGAATGAGTTTTAAACCTCGTGTGTTTAACTTCAGAAAGATATTAGTGATTATTAATTCTATGGATGATCTTGCTTCAGTATGTTAGCTATAGGTCCGACATACATGCTGTGCTCTGTGCATAAATGTTTATGTATAAAAAGTGAACAAGATTCATGTCCATCATATTTTTATTTCTATTCATGGAATTGTAAAGAAGTGAAAAGAAAACATCTGATTAGTTTAGTTGCTTTGATCTGTTTATGAATAATTGGAGAAACTAGCACTCCACCGTGGGAAAAAACTCCCAGCTTAAGGTGACAAATTACAATAAAAGACTTTTAATATCAGATTGTTTTTGATTAATCAGGAGGAAAACGGCTGCCTGGTCAAAATAAAAGCCTGAGATTTACTGACATAATTTCTTGGGAAGGCTCTCCTCGGACTCGGAAATTCTCTCTGTCCTTCTTTTGCGACTGGACTCTCTATCGTCCCTCTCGGCCTCAAACGGAAAGTTCCTGGCTGGGAGGCTGGACTGGGAGGTGGGTGGGATCTGAGCTGTGTGAAACAAGAGAACCTGGGATGAGGGAAAACCTTCAGGTGCAAGTGGAACTGCACCAGGAATCTTTCATCATCTACCTGAGCGCTGTTTGCTGTACCCTCCTCCCATGGTCCTCCTGGGCTGCAGGGGCTTTCTGTCCACCCCCAACACCTTGTGCATCTGTCCGAAGGCACACAGCCTCAGGGCGAACTGAACACAACACAGAGATGTTTTTCTGTTACTAATAGGGCTGAAAGGTTATTAATGCATAGACCAATAACTCTACGCTAACCCAGGATTTCCACCGGATGTGTGAGCGGTGCGTAACGTGATGAACGTCATCTTAGCGAGGCGCAAGATTTCTGCGTCAGACTGCACGATGTGTGGCACCATCAGGACATGCTGCGTCATGAGCGCACCTCCCAAAAGCATACGTCACAGAGCAGGCCGCTAACCAAAACAAAGCTGAAGATAGAATAAAGCTTCGCCGCTAACACTTCTTTTTAGTGTCAGCTCATGACCCAGCTCATCCTCCTCAAAGAGGAAGGATCATTAAAAAAAAAAAAAACCCGCTTTGGCGGCAGACTCCGGCTGCGGAACTCCTTTTCCCGTCCTCCAGCTGAACAGCTGATCTGTCTGCTGGACATTCATCCTTCTCCTTTCTACATAAAAACCCACTAAACTACAGAGAAGTAACAGAGAAGTGTGATCCGGGTTTTAGTTGGGAATCTGCCAGGTGTCTGCTGTAGAGCCGTGAATGTGATGAAGGAGTGGGTTGTACTGGAAGTATACGCTTTACTCGCTAGTATGACACCGTACGGAATCCGCGCCAATGAGCTCGGAAGTTTTTGGAAAATACCTTCTCAAGTAGCAAAACTAGGAAGTTCTGGACGGATTCAGAAGCTTTATAAGAAACTTCGTTATTTTCAGGCACGTCTCGTAGTAACTGATAGTAAAGTTGGTAAACTGCCTGTATTTGATATAGCGCCTTCTAGAGTCCTGGAACCCCCCAAGGCGCTTTACAACACAACGAGTCATTCACCCATTCACACACTGGTGATGAGCTACGATGTAGCCACAGCTGACCCGGGGCGCACTGACAGAGGCGAGGCTGCCGAGCACTGGCGCCACCGGCCCCTCCGACCACCACCAGCAGGCAACGTGGGTTAAGTGTCTTGCCCAAGGACACGGCGACAGACTGAGCGGGGCTCGAACCTGCAACCTTATGATTACGGGGCGAGCACTTAACTCCTGTGCCACCGTCGCCCCTTCGTTCATTCAAGAGAGGATCCAAATCTTCTGTATATTTTTATGAAAAAGTAATGCAATAGTTACTTTCCTGGTAATTAGTTACTTTTGATATTGTATCTCAGATACTGTTACTTTTTTGAAGAAATAATTAGTAACTATAATTAATGGGGTGAGGGTGGCACAGGAGTTAAGTGCTCGCCTCGTAATTGGAAGGTTGCAGGTTCAAGCCCCGTTCAGTCCATCACTGTGTCCTTGGGCAAGACACTTAACCCCCCTTGTCTGCTGGTGGTGGTCAGAGGGACAGGTGGCGCCTGTGCTCGGCAGCCTCGCCTCTGTCAGTGTGCCCCAGGGCAGCTGTGGCCACATCGTAGCTCATCACCACCAGCGTGTGAATGTGTGTGTGACTGATTGTGTTGTAAAGCTCCTTGGGGGGTTCCAGGACTCCAGAAGGCGCTATATCAAATACAGGCCATTTACTTGCTTAAAGTACCTTGCCCAACATTGGTCATGGTGCATTCAGAATACGGTGACTACATCTTATCGCCTGCCAGCCCTGATTACTCCAGCTGTGTCTCACCTGAGCGCTCTGTGTGATGTTCTCACGTTGCTGCGTAGTCAAACCGGCAGTCGCGTCGACATCTTCTTTTTCACACGGGTCCTTAATACCAGGAGCATCTTCCAGAAAGCAAAAGGGAACATTTGATCAGTCCCATCAGTTTGTTCACATCAGAGATGACAAACAATGATTTTCTGTTGTGAGAACTGGAGAAAGCTCACCTTCCATAAGGAACCCAGAGGCAATGCACTCCAGAACTCTGCGGAAAGATTCACTTGCTTTCATTTTCCTCTCAGCTGTGCCGATGACCCTCTCCACCAGCAGCTCGAGAGGCTGAACAAAGAAAAGCAACGAGAACGTTACCCCATCACAGCGCGCCTTAGAATGAAATCACAAAGCTGTTCATCAGGGTATCTGTAGGCTTAAGGGAGTCAAATTTAAGACTTTTTAAGGCCACTTTGACCAAATTTAAGCTATTTTTAAAATGAACTTTAAGCTATAATTTCCAGCTATTGCCTGGAACCGGTGCTAACCACTTCGCGAACGTGGGATTAGCCATCCAGTTACCATTAAACTTGCACTTCCCCATGGCGCAAGCTCCCGCTAGCTTAACCAGCTAATGTGCTCATCTAAAAATAGCCTCTTTTCACAACCAGCTGAGTGTGTACGGTTCCGCTTACGCCAACATCGCACACAAAAAATGCTGAACACTAAACTAGAAATTCACAAAAATTTTACAGAAATCAGAGAATCTTGTTTATTGGGTCTTTGGTCAATTAAGGCCTTTGGAAGGATTTTTTGTCATTTTTAAGGATTTTTAAGGCCTTAAATTTGGAAAAGCAAATGTAAGACTTTTTAAGGACCCGCAGATACCCCGTTTATGCAACAATTCGAGCTTCTGGGATCCCAAAAATATGAATAACAAAAAGAAGGAAGAAGTTTATTAGGAAGACGACAAATAAGGAGAAAAGGATGAAGAAGAGTTTTATGGGTAGCGCCATTCTAGATGGAAATCACAAGGCGCTTCACAAGCACAATAAAAAATAGTTACTTAAAATAAACACAGTGAACTAGGTTACTCACCCATCCCAACAGGGGGGTCCAGGAAGGAACGCGGATACACAAATCCCTCATGATCCGGATCACGATGACAACAGAAACATCAGAGCTAACTTTAGCCTGAGACACAAAGTGAAAACCAGCTGAGTTAGAAGGCCGGTTGCCAACGGCGACGCCTCACCTGTGCTTTCTACATCAAGCTGGGCATTTTGATTGGGAGAGAACGCTGTCTGTGCTAGCATCAATACCAACGATTTACCCACATCTATCGTTGGTATCGATCAGCACATAGGCCAGCAAGTGTAAAGTTTCACATCTTTAGCATGTAAGCTACATTTAATAGCTGTCGCTGTCTCTAAAGCTGAGATCATCTAAGGAAACAGTTCAACCTTATGTACAAATAAGGACGTGGATGCAAACCTGGAACCACTTGGCGTGGCGGAGAGACGCCAAAGCAGAGAGGCATTTCTGTCTGTCCAGAACGTCCGGCGGATCGTCGACTGTTTGCGTTTCTACTGACGAGGTGGGATAAGAAGAAAAGGTACAGTTTGACCAAGGGGGTTGGTTCTGTCTTGCAGCTCAGGGAGTAGCAGCTTTTCCCAAACCGACAGCAGCAGGAGGGAAGGGAGATTCCCGGGTAACGGATGTGAAAGGTAAAAATGAGGTGCGTGTGTGTGTGCTGCTCTACAGTAAACACCCCCTTCCCTCAGCTCCACAGCTTGGGTTTGCTGCTCCCCCCTTCCTCCTCAGACAGTGAGTCCAGTTGGTCAAAGGTCCAGCGTTCCTACAAAACTTGACAAACTTGAAGTCATCAGTGATAAATCACAAAGCATTTAGAAGTCCACGTGTGCCCCGCGCTGCAGCAAAACTGATTGGTTTCTGTCTAAAAGAGGCTCAAAGATGAATTCAAAACAAAATACTGGAGCCTGAAAGAACTTTAACAGGATTGGGCAAGTGTTAGATAAAAAAAAAAGTTATTTAATTAAGTCACATCAAGTTTAGGGGTGATGCTATTAGACTTTTACGCATCTGAAAAGAGCAGCTGCATAACTAAATGTGTGTTTGTTACTGGACGCGTAAAAAGTGCAGTCCCCAGAATAAAAGCTAGCTTTCACCTGACGAGGCCGCTTTACTGAACGCAGAAGTTAAGCAAACACTGGAACAGAGGGAGGAACGTGAGTTTGTGACACTGAGCTCACGTGTCTGATGGATCTGACTAGTGACCACTTGGCTCGTGTTGTCATTTGTTTAAAGGACTTTGAGGGTTTGGATCAATATCACAGAAAGGTTTTAACTAAGCTGCTGTGTAAAATATTAACTGGTGTCATTCTGTCTTCAGACCAAAAACTGGTGAGTTTAACCATGTTCGCTTAAACTCGTGCTAGCATCACAATACAGATTACTATCATGTACCAGACAGTTAAAGTAGTATCGGTCAGTTAATATAATATTAATACTAATGAGCGTCTGTCAGCTGTCTCATACTCACTAACATCCGTTCACCTGACCTAGTTTAGCTTAGAGAGTGGGAGAGAGACGCCTGTCATCTGGTTCTGGAGCTCATGCGAGCTTCTGTGAGCTGGATCCGACCCAGAAACCAGCGAGCCCATCCAGCTGGGACTTTTAAAAGCCGCGCAACCGCTCCTGGAGGTCCAAGAGCAGTTCTGATCCAGCTCCGACCCGGAAACCAGCTGGCCTGCTGACCTCTTCTGGTGGTCGGTTCTGATGGTGCTCTGAGCTCCAGAAATCCACATTTAATTTTTTAAACCGCACCACGGGTCTCCGGAGCCCAGTGTGGACCTCCCTGACCCGGTACAGACCGACGCGGGCTACAGAAGTCCATCTTTGCAGCTGCACTAAACACCCTCAGGCACGGAGATAGAGGCGTTGTTCCTCTGATCTGGAAACCCGTGGACTCGATGTCCAGACAGGCTGGAGTCGGTACAGCCTTCACACACTCTAGTTTATCTACATGAACACAACCCAACACTAGTAAACACACACTGACTGGATCACGACCTCTCTACTCTAAAACTAGCCACTCTCCACACAGAGCTGAGGCAGCCGAGCTTCTAACTCCCTTTGGTTACGTCACAGTCACATTTAGAAACAAGAGCCTTTTTTTTTAGAAGTTTTGCTGAGAAAAGCCACTTTTTAACTGCTGTTATGTATTTTAACACAAAATATCCACAATAAGCATTTCTAATAGTATTTTTTGGACAGCATTTTATATGAATTAGAATTTTTTTACCTGCAATTTGCTCTTTAAAACAAGTTCCATAAGTACTCAGAGTAAAATCTTTTTCTAATGATTTTTTTACTCATCAGTTTTGCAGCAGCTGGGTTCAAATGCACATTTCACCATCAAGGGCATGCAATGCGCGCTTTTCTTAGAGGAGCCATCACTCTTAGCATAAAAGACAAGGATGAACAGAGGCACCGTCATTAATAACATGACCAGAATAAACCACAGAGGAAATGTTCCGCCTCAAAACAGTTGACCACAACACAACGCCAAGACTGCTGAGCAGAAGAGACGGCCGCTTTAGCAGGTGGTTCGCTGGCATCAGACTCAAACGGTCACTGTGCAACACCACCGAGGGAAAAGCAGGTTCTGATGTGGAGTCTCCGGCCAGCCTGGTGATGATGCTCCTGCTACTGAGAATTTCTGAAGCGAGGTTTGGTGTGGCTGACTTATTTCATCAATACGTCTGCAGCAGTGGTCTCTAGTAGGAATAAATGACTTATAATGCCTGGTTTATGCTTCTCCGTCATCTCCGCAAGGGACAGACACGCACGGATTGACAGAAGCGTTTTGCTCTTTTACTTCTCCGTCTCCTGGAGAGTGTTGCAAAGCAATTGCCCGGCAGGACAACAGAGGGCGTAGCGCTGTTCTGTGGTATCCTGTCATGTATCGGTCCAAGATAGTGTGTTTATATTGTGTTTTTTGTGTATATAAGAGACTTTTAACACGGACATATTTGTCTCTCATTCTCCCACCTCTAAACCCACGTTTCCTGTCATTTCCGTCCACAAATAAAACGCTTGCTGTGCATCTTTTCACTCCTCCAGTCACGGGAGAATGAAACGTTCATATTTTTAGAGTTTTTTCGCGAGGTATTCTTCAAGCTTCTCCGTGTCTGCCGCTAGTTAAACTCGGCTCTCTATGCAATGGCGGCGCTGTAAACAACAGCGGCGTCCTGACCAATCACAAACTTGCGTAATCCGTCTCGTTCGACGGATGTTTAAAAAAGTGGGCTCGACTCCGTACGTACTTGCGTGCCCTACGCAAGAACGGATAATGGCGTTGCGTGTCTCCGCACTGACGCAGACGGAGAAGCATAAATCAGGCTTAAGTCGTTCTCAGGGGGAAACAATATACCGGCGCACCATTATCAGGAATTAGAACTGAGCCACATCACAGCTGCGCTTCAGACGACAGGATCTGGAGTCTTACTTCCTGATATCTGGACATCTCTCCTCTGATTGGCTAACAGCAGCACGACTCTACCACTGACTCGGTTTGCTCTGCAACGCTGATGTTTTACCTCCACCAATAAAAGAAGCCTGGAGGAGTTCTGCTGTGTGGCGGAGTTGCTAATGCTAACAGTTAGCTTCTACTAGCGGAGACGTTCTCAGCTGTTTCCTGGACGCTAAACCAACAACAGCCTTCCCCGCCGTGAGCCAAGCTACGTCAGCTTCCCCCATCAGTGTTTGATGAGCATGTCTGACGGGATCAAAGTGGTGGTGTTGAGCCAGAAACCAACTGGTGAGAGGACTTCATCATAAATAATCAAACATAAAAACTGACCACATCGTGCACAAAGTTTAGCACCAGCTAACAGACCCATTTCGGTTTTGCCCCTGAAGCTCAGTGACTGAATGAACCTGAACAGATCCAGGACCAGTGAGACTCGAGGGTTTCTAGTGCCGATTTGTAGTTCGGTGGAGCAGCACAGTGATGGAGCAGAGAGCACACGGAGCCGTGGCGTCGCACACACCTTTCTCCTCCACGGAGGCGTCCGCCTGCTCCTTCCTAACGAGAGGTGATGTCAGGTGGATGGAGAGAGTCATCGCCGACTCTTTGGTGGTTTTGACAACAATGGCAGCAGCTTCAGGACTCGGGCTCACTGTATACGTTCCAGCAGAGATATCCTATAAAATCAAATGTGATGTTGAATAAAGAGCTAAAACAGTTACACTAGGGTTGTCACGGTGTGAAAATGTAACCTCACGGTTATTGTGACCAAAATTACCACGGTTTTCGGTATTATCGCGGTATTTTTTTAAACGTGTTACATTTTCAGACAACTACATAAACCCTGTATATCAGGAAAATATTGTCCTCAGTTTGTGTCTAAATTTTGCCTAAAATGTGTTATTTTGTAATTATGTTGTTTATTTGTTTACATATTTCCCCTTTAGTCTTTAAGATACCAATAACTTCTTTTTTTTGTCTGTTTGATGTCATCATTTTAAAAATATTAGATCAGATGATACTCAGTACTCAAGTAGCCTTCTAATCAGATACTTTTTTACCCTTACTTGAGTAATAAACCCTATATCAGGAGAATATTGTCCTTGGTTTGTGTCCTTCCAGTGAGCTTTGCAGATGTGGGAAAATGTCATCAGGCAGTAATCGTTGTTAAATTCATAATTATTCTTGGAGAGAGACCAACTCTTATCTGCCCCTGGGAGCCCCGCAATGCATAGCGTCATTTCAACATGGGGGTGTCCGCGACACGGTTTATATGCAGGTAGCGGCGCTGCGGCTGCTTTATATAGCGACTCGTTGCATTCTCCCTCAACCCAAATCCTCGGATCACTCATTTTAGCTAAAACGCTAACGTTAGCTTGCCTTGCGTTGACTGTAGAGTTGTGGGTGATGGTCACGCAGATGTGTCATGAGATTTGAAGCGTTGCTGCCTTTCACAGACACTTTTTCTGCACGTGCTGCAAACAGGATAGCCGTCTTCTATCAGCTGTCCCTCGGCATTCTTCAGATATCCAAAAGATGCCCGTACTTCCCACTTTGTCTTCTTTGAGGGATAATAAATGTCCTGAGCGCTGCCGTCTCCTCCTCTGGCCATTATTTCAGCTTTAGTTGTAAACAACAAAGTGCGCATGTGCCGCCGGAAACTTCAGCAGATGATACGGTGGCTGGTAAGGGTCACCGCGCCTACACCGCAGCCACGGTAATCCACCGAGATAATATAGTTTTTAAAAAACAAGACGGTTATTATTATTGTCAACTTTTTTACCGGGGTTTACTGCTACACCGGTTACCGTGACAACCCAAAGTTACACACTATAGAAGCCAAAGCTGGCTTTAAGCTCTACCTCCAGCTGTTCCAATAACTTTTCAGCCACTTGGTTCAGCAGGTCGACCGTAGGCCAGCTGGAGCAAAGCAACACCAGATCCAAGTCCTGGTCTCCTTTCAGGATGAGTCCTTTGGCCACCAGGCCAACCCTCATAACGCCACACAGGGTACGCTCCGTTTTGCTTATGAAGACAGGAGTAAGAAAGGAAAATGTTTTAAACAGAATAAAAAAAGAGAAGAAGTCAATAATTGAAACCATTTGGAGCCCTGCTTACCTGCCTGTTTGATTAGTTTCACCCTTATTCTTCTCTATCCCATCAGAGACGTTCTTGAGGGCACACTCCACATGGGAGACGATCGTCTGCACGACCTCCAGCTTTTCCGCTGAGGGGTACACTTCAGAGTGTTTGGCCATTATGGTGCGTTCTTGTGGGCCCGAGGGCTTCCGAAAGGCTGCAGACTCCTAGATTTAAGATAAAAAATAACAATATTCACTCATTCAAACTGCGTTTTTATACATAAAAGATGAGTAAAATAACTCATATGAGAAGAAATACAAGGAAGTATCACTTCAGCAGCTATGAATAAGAACGACCTGCAGGATGTCAGAGGAAGGTTTCTTTTAGAAAGAAAAGGAATTATTTTAGAGATGGAAAACAGGAAGTGTTCAGGAGTTGTGTGCTTTTGTTCAAGGCTCCTAACTCCGCCTGCCCCATGAATCATTTGGGCACAAAATAACCCGAGTTTACGAATGTTTCTGCACAAAAAAGACAAATGAGCAAACAGGTAGATGTTAACTTTGCTTTCAGGTTCGAAGGACAGCTTGATTTGACAAGATTTACTAAATCCGACAATATAAAACATTTTAACAGGCACAAATTAAATAGTTTGCACCAAAAAGAAAGGACTTTTGAAAAAGCTATCAAATAAAAACTTGATGGATCAGTTAAAGGATGATGCGACTCAGAATCTAGTTTTCAACTACTGTAAATCTTTTTTCCTCCCTACATCCCATCATTTCCCCTCTGTACTTGTCTAGTTCCTCTGTTTTTTTTTAAAGAAGACATTGGTCACAAAACAAGAGAAAATAGAGTTTTTCCTGCGTTCTAATTAGCGTGGCGGCTGCCTCCAGCTATTTTTGTGCCACCCCAGCCTGATTTCACTCTGCCCCCAGCTATATGGATGTTATTTTAACTGCAGTTGCAGCGTTTTGCCACTACAGGGGCGCTGTATCAGCAGCGGTGCACCGAAAGGCTCTAAAACGTGGCTGACCACACGTCCTCTTTCCCCCGGACATGTCCACTTTTCACTCTCTGTCTGGGGTGCCCGGGGGGAAGGGGGTACTACAATGATCAAAATGTCCGGTTTTTCATCCAGGAGCAGGGATCAAGTTATGGAGGGCTAGATATCTTTCAGGGAAAGATCCAGTTTCTGCCTACAATATTTATGGGGTTCTGTTGAGCAGAGAGGACGCAGAGCGCCGATCGTTGGTGCGCCCGCTGCGTCCGGCGCACGATACTTTCTCAAGGTGGTGCCACAAAACATTGCTATTAATACATGATCGTTCATATCTGTTTACATCATCAGGTACTCTGTCTTTTAATCATTGCAGACACGCTCCGCTCATCGTGTGCTGCGGTGATTTCACCTCACTGACGCAGCATCGAAACGCACACCCCGCTTCGCGGTCAGGAGATCCCTTTGATCTGTGTAGCTCAAAAGTAACTGATGAGGTGAATAAGTAAGAATCCAGGCAGCAGTTTTTCTGGAGAGTTTAGAGGAGATGCGGGAAGATGAGAGACAGACAGGACAGGAAAATAGTTACATAAAAACTAGAAAACAAAGCTTGAAAGTCAAATGTAGGTAGATTTATCTCCACTACACGTTTTTACCTGTATAAAACAAAAAGTTATAAACACGTAATATTTATACATCTGATACAATTCAGATCATCTTCACAACTCACGTCACACACCCAGGGCCGTTTCAAGGTATTTTGGGGGCCAAGGCAAAAGAGGAACACCCCCCCAACCCTAACCCGTACATAACAGACATGCCACCATTACATTGTTGGCAGCAGAAATTAAATGTTATTACCATTTCCAACACAAATGCATGTTAATGAAATGTATTATATTTTACTGGATACATTCATGTGTTATTTTGACTAAGATGAGTGTTATTAATACAAACCTAAAATGTTACTGAAATGTAGGTCAAATATTTAAAAATATTTTTAACTATAAATATCAGATGGGAAAAAGGGAACTAAACACCAATCTAATTAAGTCTTTTGTAATATTTTGCCTTTAAAATTTGAGGCAGTTGAATGCACAGAGTACGCATGTGCTGGCGCACGGTCAGGATGGTACACCTCTGCCTCAGTTTGAGCCAGGAAAAACCCTGAAATGCCTTGCTCTTTCACACATACCAATTGGAAGCAAAAAGGCCTGATTGATGGTGTGAAGTGTTTAAGAACGTGAAAGCAAAACCTCAGCAAAGCGTTCATCGTGGTTTTCAACAGAAGACATGAAGTGGTGGTACTGCCTCAGCTCCTCCTCGTAACACAGACAGTCGTACCAGTAACGCAACTCCTCATACCTAAAGAAAAAAGATGACAAAACAGAAGTAGTATTAGCGAAGAGGAGATATGGCTTCTGGGGTAAACCAGGTTTACATTCATGACTTTCCCATTGTCACGGATAAAAGATCCATTAGTTTTAAAAGAAATGTGAAAATAATAAAAAAGCAGCTCTTTCATTTTTGAATTATGTTGATATATTTTTGTCTGATTGTTTTAACAAAACTTTGAGCGCTCCCCACTAATCAACATGTCGATATCTTTTATTTTAGAGAATTACATTTGAATTTTCTGGTGGAAAATGTGATTAAATGACATGCAGCAGGGTGGATTTCTGCAATAGGTTTACGTAAGTGCAGATTAAGTCCTCTTGGATTTGTGTTTCATTTAAGTGTGCAGATCGGTGCCTGGTTGTAGAACAGTGTTTCCCAACCCTGGACCTCAGGGGTCACTGTCCCACATGTTTTCCATGTCTCTGCTTCAGCACACCTGATTTACATTGGCTCCTCAGGAGGACATCAAGTGCTGCAGCTGCCTGTTAATCACACATTCATCAGGTGTGTGGCAGCAGAAACACACCGGTGTTTGAAAGAGCAACGTGGAAAACATGCAGGACACTGGTCTCTGAGGACCTGGGCTGGGAAACAATGTTGTAGAGTACCTCTCGAAATCCTCAGGTAGGAGCCGGTGGCCCCGCTGGATCACGTCGTCCCAGTACAGCAGCTCCTCGTAGGCCTGCTGTTCGTCCCACATAGCCGCTGATGCCATTCTGTCACGACCGCACAACCGAGACTGCCTCCTGTCTCACCAACAAAACGGCTGTCGGCAACAAATATCAGCCAAGAAAATATAACTAAAAGCAAAAGAAAACATTTAGGGTCCGTTTTTAGGCCGCTGCTCGTTTCAGTTGATGTTAGCAGCAAACGCACTAATGATGCGCAGAAAGAGAAGGGATGTAATCTTTATGTATGAATGTTGTGCTCTATACGAACTAAACATACACGATGTAACACATCAGCAAAACCACGGACTTTAAATTAGGTTACATCACCTAATAATAAATTATCTTGAATCTATTAGCTAGCATGCTATTAGCAGTCATGCTTACTTAGCTAGGGTTTTGTATGAGCTATCACGGCTCACCTTTGTCAGAGAGTAAAAAACCACTTGTGGACCTTTAATGAGAACGTTGGTCCCCTCTTAATGTTCGTTTTGATGAGTTCACAGCTGTTGGTTTCCACAAAACCTCCACCAGTTGGGACATTAGCCTATGTGCTGCGGCCGGGTCCTTCTCTGAGAACGAAGCAGCCGGAGCCTGTTGACCGCACAGCGCCCCCTTCCGTTCAGGAGTTGTCTTCATTCTTCTTTTATCATCCGTAAAAAACATTTACTTTGAACTAGAAACGTACAAATAAAACATGTGAAAAAATTCGAACTAAATTAAACAATCTTTTTCTTCAAGTAGCTCTTTTATCTTTTTATAGAGGGTGTCATTATCTGATTATTACTTATATTTGAATTTGCCACAGAAAAGGTCATTTCTGGCGGTTTTTATGGATGTGCAAAGCTGCCACTCACAGGAAATAAAGTTAGAGCTATGTCCCGTTATAACATCACAACTTTATTGTTCTATCTGTATAATTTCACATTTCTACGAAATATCATATTCTTACATTAAACTATCATGTTTTTACCGTAAAATATTCACATTTGTACAATTAAAATATTATATTGTACAAACCTGACATTTATAAGAACATCATAACATTTTATACAAATATAACATATTGTAAGAACATGAAAATTATATTGTTAGAACAATAAAGTTACGGTAAAATGTTGTAATGTGACATTGCTCTAATTATATTTTGTATGGGTGGCAGCTCTACGCTTCTGTACATCTCTCTTCCAAATTCAGAAATGTGAAATATGAAATAATAATGACTAATCCTGTTTTGGATAACAATACTAAGTTTGCCAAACGAATAATAGTAATTTTAGAAATTTATAATTTATTAGTGTATATTAAAATATATTTAAAATTTTTGTTGTTATGTTGTTGATTTTAAAATTAACTGTTTTGTTGAGTTCAGAATCTACTCTTATATGTTTTGATGCTATTTCCTGCACGTGAAAGCACACTGAATGCCCAATGTGCTATACTAATAAAGCTACCTGGCCTTTTGTTATCAGTGTTGTTTTATTATGTGATTATATAAAAATAATAGTAATGAAGAAAATAAAATTGACTCTTGTCACATGTATATCCTCCAGTAGAGGGCAGTGGTCTTGTGTAGGACGGGGTATGGCAGGTGTTTGCCTTGATAAAAGAAAAGCATCACATCCCCAGGATTTGTTGGGTAAGTTGTTTTCTGAATTCTTGGTTTTGAAAATAAATTTGAGTCCACTGAGAGCAAGATCCAGGCTATTTGTGCTCCAGTAATTTTTGCTGTATTTGGTCCAGTCTTATGACATGTTGCACAATTTGGTTTTTAGTAAAATAATGAGGGTCTGTGGCTTTATTTATCATTAAATAATTAAAAAACACAAAAAATGTGGGCCTTGCATAACAGAAAATCATAACATCATAATTTCAATGTGCATGTTGTAAGAGAAAAGGGGAAAGTCAACAAAAACAGAAAAATTTAAGCCTGCAAATCAAAGATGGATTATTTTGGAGGAGAAAAATGTTCCAGCTGTATATCCAAACTGGGTAATAAAAGTTTTTCTGAGGAGAAGTTTAGACTCAGGACCTGAGTATTTATTTATAACATACCGCTGGATGTTTATTGTATTCGTGACGCAAAACACAAAGAATCCACCCTGAGTCAGACCTGAATCAACACTTTATCCTCATCTGTGTTCTTTGTTTATTAAATTAGTATCTGCATGACCTTTGGTGAGTAATTCGTTTTTTTATTTGTCATCTTCTACTGAACGTGAAGTGCATGACTCAGCGGGACATCTCTGCTGCAGAGAACGCCGCTCTCAGAGTGAAATATGAACAACGATGAAATCCGAACTCTTCATGGGAAAGCAGAGAGGTCTGCGGAGCAGCACCCTAATAAAACAGATCAGAGGAAAGCTGCAGTTGTGATTAAAGGACAACATTTAGATATTAATAATAATAATAATGCATTGAACTTATATAGCGCTTTTCTAGACACCCAAAGACGTTTTTCACACACTCTCACATTCACACACTGCTAGTGATGGTAAGCTACTTGTAGCCACAGCCGCCCTGGGGAGGTCTGACAGAGGCGAGGCTGCCATTTGGCGCTGTCGGCCCCTCTGACCACCACTAACACTGATATTGAACGTTTTACAAAATCTCTTTAAATATTAATACGGATGTGGGCTAAAAGATGGAGATCATGCACCATTCTAAAGAAATCAGAGAACAACAGCACCCAGAAAATCAGAAAAAGAAGAGGCGGAGGAGAAGAATTGCTTCTATGGCAGAAGTCCAAGCCACGTTTGCCTCAAAACATTTCAATAATCCCCAAGACTTTTGAAAAATATTCTGTGAAATGAAGAGACAAAACTGGAAGCGTTAGAAAGGAGTGCATCCCGAGTGAAACAAACTCAAAAATGCTGGTGGTAGTGTGATGATCTGAGGCTGCTTTTCTGCTTTTCTGCTTTTGTATGACCTTCTTCACCACTCTCTCTCTATTCTGCTCTCCCCACCTATTCCACCTTCCTCAGGATCCACTGACTTCCCTCTTTCCTATTCACTCTCTCTCTTTCTTAAATTTTTTTTAATTACAATTGTCTATTTTTGCTCATTTTAAATATATTTTTAAACATTTTCTAAATGATTTTTTATATTTTTACATTTTTTGTTTTTGTGAAGCGCCTCGTGATTTTCATCTTGAGAGGCGCTATGGAAATGATAGTTTCTTCTTCTTCTTCAGGACCGTTTGGTGGAACAGATGGAAGCATCAATTCTGCTCCCTAGCAACAAATTGTACAGGAGAAGGCATGACCTTTGACCTTGAACAGGTCATTCGTGCTTGAAAACCCTCCAGTGTCAAACCCTTTCAGACCATGGGTCCCCAGGAAAAACTGTCATTGATTACAAGTCAGCGGGGATATAAAAGGTATTTTCTAATCTCGTTTCATATGTTTATGTTTATTTATTTGGCAGACGCTTTTATCCAAAACGACATAACATTTTTAACCTATAGGGCATGCTTTGATCTATGGGGGGAACACATATATGCATGGGGAGAACATGCAACTCCCCGCAGAGAGACTGAAACCGGGTTTCAAACCTGCAACCTTCTTGCTGTGAGCTAACAGTGAAAACAACTGCACCACCGTGCAGCATATATCTGCCATGGATTTCACGTATAATGTTTGTGAATTTTAATGATGCATTCTGATGCCAAAAACGTGCTTATTTTCCAAATGCAGCAACAGTTATTTTAGGTTTTACGTGGAAAAATGTGTAGAACTACTAACATATTGATGTCCTCAAACCAGACATGGAGAAGTCAGTGGCTGTGAGTTTAGCGGGATTCGATCCTTGCAGGTGATCGGCGGAGCAGGAAATAAATCCTTCACTGCAACATGAGAGACTCATTACTGCATCGCCACACTTCCCTGGGTCCTCCACTCATCACACACTCACGTATTCAGCACCAGAGCACCACTGGTGTGAGAGGTTCTCCGCTCAGTAACATCAGAGAAGGAGAAACAGCCAGCTGCTACCACTTCAGCTTTAGGACAAACTACCAGAATCCCAAAAAGAAAATCACCGTTTCAATTCACGGACAACAAAAGATATTTGGACCTAGAAAACGGCGACTGGTGTTTGGCGCAATCTCGTTTCCTCTGACAATGTGGGCTTCTGTTTCCAGTAGAAGTGTCTCAGAGAAGATGCCCGACTGGAGGCGTGACTGTTCTGTGATCGTTTTTTGCGTTTAAAACCTAGCTTGTTTGCAGATATTCAATTGGAGCTTTTAACATAAATAACGATGGCTTTGACATCTGCCGATAACTACGGGAACATTTTGTCATATAAGATCAAATATTTATGAACCATTCAAGTTTTATTGTTTCAAAACAGAGGAGTCAAAAAAAAAACCACAGTTCTTTTGATTAAAAGAACTTTTTATTATTTACATTCAATTTACACGCCCTCAGTGCACTGAGAGTAACGTTCAAGTATGAACTTATAAACTCTTACCTAACTTCACATGTAAACACACAGAACGTTTGCTTTAACACACAAACATGCATAATCGCCCCGGGATTTAAAAAAATAAAAACAAGAAAAAAAACTTTTACATTCCTTAATAAATTACATTCAGCAGAATTTTTAGCATCAGCAAAACACGTAAAGTTTGGGAGTTTGAAGTTTCCTCTGATGTTGATGCAGCTGGCTTAACCCTCCCACTGACTTCATGGGTGTCCCCGCCAGCAAAGTTGACCATTGAGCAGGATTGATGGTTTATCCCTTGAGGTCCACGTGGCAGGTGGTGCTCACTCCTCACCCCTGCCACGTGGACCTCAAGGGATAAACCATCAATCCTGCTCAATAAACAACCTTCTTTGCGGGGTCACCCATGAAGACAGTGGGAGGGTTTAAAAAAGACATTTTCATCCCATACATAAATATCTCTTCTGCAACCCTTTGAGCTCTTGGAGACAAAGCACAGATACACACATGCCCTTTCATAATGTGTCTTAAAATAATAAGGAATGTTCACGTATTGCAAGTAAACAATGAAGCTTTTGTTATATTTTGTGCAAAATCAAAGCCATAGTTAGCTTCCATTTGTCAGGTCATCACAGCCTCACAGTTTGCTCCTGATACTGTTTTTGACCAGTCTGTCTCCGACAATGTTCAACCAGCTGTGCTCAGTCAGACCTGACTCACCTCCTTCTGCTCCAAGCTTGGGAAGGAGCTCTTCTCCCAGCGGCCCATCATCGATCCCCTCATTCCAGCCTGACACTTCACAATGAGGTAGATTTTTCGGAGCACGGTGCGACGCAACAGGATGTAGACCCATGGGTCGAGGATCTGGTTCCACCCGGCCAGCCTCACTCCCATGTGCATCAGGGTCTGGTAGCTTCTTGAATTTGTGCTCGCTGGTCTTTTCACGGACATCAGAGCAAAGATCTGCAGTGACAAAGCATACAATTCGTCATTGATTTAGATGACTTAAAACACGACTTAAGTCAGATCAAGAGTTCTGATAATGTTTGTAAAGCGATTAAACTAATAGAAATGTTAAATCTGTGGCATTTAAAGCAGCAATCTAGAGCTCTCCCTCTTTCAGAAATTATGTATGATTTTTTTAGACATCTGTAATTGTGACAGCCTTACCCTGGACTGTGATGTAGGTTATACATCTTTTTTTTTCTTAAGTTTGTCCCCATTTCAATTTGAATAGAGCGCCTCTGAGCATTAGCCAATAGCGTTAGACATCTGCCTACAAACAGACTTCAATCACAGTGCGAGCTCGATAATCTTTTGGATGTACCTAGACTGATGCAGAGCTGAGTGCATTTCTTATGGACAAGTGTCTTTGTATATATATGTATATATATATATATATATATATATATATATGTGTGTGTGTGTGTGTATATATATATATATATATATATATATATATATATATATATATATATATACACACACACACACACACACACACATATATATATATCTATATATATATATATACACACACACACACACACACATATATATATATATATATATATATATATATATATATATATATATATATATATATATATATATACATATATATACATACACACACACATATAGTACATATATAGGAGATGTTAACTACACCTATTTGAAACTGTGTAGAAATATGAAAAAAATTCACATTTTACACTTTGGATCAATTAAACTCTATGTATATATTTGTTTTAATAACCATAATTATTGGAAAATACCAAAATGAACACTGACAGTTTGAAATTGTGTCCTTGGTATTAATAAACAAATCTTTACAATGTGCAGTATTTGTAAACATGACAGGAAATGACATCATACTATCAAAGCATTAAAATGTGTTACTCAAATAATGTGAGGAGGGAAACCAATGGTTTCTGACTTGGGGTCCCCTCGACTGCATGGCGTCCCCACAATTTTGTCTGTGTTGAGGTTGTGAGGTCACCAAGATTATATTTGTTAAAACAATAAAAAAAAAAACAATAACACACCCAACAGTATAATCAAAACCCTATATAACAATTGTAACTCTGTATGAATGTGAAAAGCTCTTAATGAATCACTTTTGATGTTCGTATGCCGGTAGAAGTTGTGGTAGGGGGTCCTGGCTTACCTTGGACATAGGCAAGGGGGTTCTTAAGGAAAACGATTGTGAACCACTGAGTTAAACTAAAGTTAGGAATTTTTTAGAGTTATCCCTGCACTAATTTACCAAAGTGGACTGCCTGAACATTTTTTGGGCCGCCTGAATGTTTAATTCCTCACAAAAACACTGAACCCTGATCAGCCATAGCAGTGCCACAAAACGATCGATCGACCAGATGCGTCGCTCTGCACGTTTGGTTTGGTTCAGGTCCAGCAATCTCCTCCCCTTTCACTCCCACCAACACTTGCTGTTCCCACTTCTAAACCCAGAGGAAACCCCGGATGCGTACTCACTAAGCAAATACTTTTCAGATCATCTCATTCAACGCTTTTCCCCAAGCCATGGACATTTTCTCCCTTTAGACTTACATTTTTCAGCTGTTATCAGCATAGATATCAATATATTGTGTCTGTCATTACTGGTAGCTTGCTCAAAGGGCGGCTTGCTCCGGACTCTGATTGGTTCTTTTCTCGACTAATCCCGCCTGTTCCATTTGCTAACTGGTTCTTTTTTCGTTCTCTCGTCTTTTCCGTTTTATGATTGGATTTTTGTTACTGTCAGTTTTTGCTGACATCTTTAATTTGTCGATAAAAATATCGATCGATATTTGTCATAATTTATGCTATATAGGGAGCCTTAGTCACTTCCGTATCATGGATCCCCGGAAGAACGAAAAAATTAATGCAAGTCAACGGGGCTAAAAACGCTATTTTCTAATCCACTTTGCCTTACGCCCTGGATCGCACGTGTTGTACTGCAATTTAAATGAAAAGTAACGATGGGTTTTTTGACCACGCCTGTCATGTACTTTGAGATTTATCAGCTTGTAAAAGTTCGTAATTAGCATGTCTACAAACTAGAAATCGGTACATCGCATATGTGACATCATCACATAATCTCCTCCCCCCTAGCGTAGCTGCTACCACATGACCAGATTTATGGTGGTTCTTTCCTCCTGTGGGAAGTTTCCTGAACTTACAGCCCTTTTCCCTCAGTTTTCTCCGTGTCTGGTTCGATGACGTCACTTTCGTGAAGCGCATTTGTAGTTCTGGACTTATTTTCACACAAAACCTAAAATATCATTCCCCCCGTTCGAAAATAAACGCGTTCATGGTATCAAAATGCGTCTTTAAAATTCACGAACATCATGTGTGAAATCCATGGCACAAAACAAGCGGAATAAGAAAATGCTGTTTTTAGCCCCGTTGACTTGCATTCATTTTTTCGTTCTTCTGGGGACCTGTTATGCGGAAGTGACCTATAGCAGTTCGTTTGCAAAAATTAATTTGTCACAAAAAAACTGAGAATATTAGACAAGGAAATGAACACTATTACAACAATATCACTGTTCTGAGAACTTATAATCATTCGTGTTCACCACGTCTTACACGCTGATGGATGCAACTGAAGCACGATTCTGTACTAAATAATGTTCCCTCTCATTTTTTTATTCAGATAAAGTTCAGATCTGTTTTGTTCGACAGCATGCCAGAAACAAGCTAAAAAATGTCACGTAGGTCAGCCTTAAAAGAATAAATAACCGAAAGTCATTAATAAATAATTATTTTCTAGTAACAAACTGCAGAGATTAAAGGTCAGAGTTCACGATGAGTTGTAATGGAGCTGCTTAATTTTTCCGGAGGGTCAGTAGTTCTTATTTTATTTTACTTTAAGTAGTTGGACTTTCAAGGTACTAAGACTTTTAATGTGTTTAAATGCACATTAAAATTAGGGCAGCCGAGTCTATAAATAGTGTTAGCATCACATTATACAGGTGCTGGCCAGTAAATTAGAATATCATCAAAAGGTTGAAAATATTTCAGTAATTCCATTCAAAACGTGAAACTTGTACATTATATTCATGCAATGCACACAGACCAATGTATTTCCAATGTTCATTACATTTAAATTTGATATTCATAAGTGACAACTAATGAAAACTCCAAATTTGGTATCTCAAAAAATTAGAATATTCTGAAAAGGCTGAATATAGAAGACACCTGCTGCCACTCTAATCAGCTGATTTACTCAAAACACCTGCAAAGGCCTTTAAAAGGTCCCTCAGTCTTGTTTTGAAGGCACCACAATCATGGGGAAGACTTCTGACTTAACAGCTGTCCAAAAGACAATCATTGACACCTTGCACAAGGAGGGCAAGACACAAAAGGTGATTGCTAAAGAAGCTGGCTGTTCGCAGAGCTCTGTGTCCAAGCACATTAACAGACAGGCGAAGGGACGGAAAAAATGTGGTAGAAAAAAGTGTACAAGCTCTAGGGATAACCGCACCCTGCAGAGAATTGTGACGACAAACCCATTCAAAAATGTGGGGGAGATCCACAAAGAGTGGACTGCAGCTGGAGTCAGCGCTTCAAGAACCACCACGAGGAGACTCATGAAAGACATGGGATTCAGGTGTCGCATTCCGTGTGTCAAGCCACTCTTGAACATGAAACAGCGCAAGAAGCGTCTCGCCTGGGCCAAGGACAAAAAGGACTGGACTGATGCTGAGTGGTCCAAAGTTATGTTTTCTGATGAAAGCAAGTTCTGCATTTCCTTTGGAAATCAAGGACCCAGAGTCTGGAGGAAGAGCGGAGAAGCACAGAATCCACGTTGCATGAGGTCCAGTGTAAAGTTTCCACCGTCAGTGATGGTGTGGGGTGCCATGTCATCTGCCGGTGTTGGCCCACTCTGTTTCCTGAGGTCCAGGGTCAATGCAGCCGTCTACCAGGAAGTTTTAGAGCACTTCATGCTTCCTGCTGCTGACCAACTTTATGGGGATGCAGACTTCACCTTTCAACAGGACTTGGCACCTGCACACAGTGCCAAAACCACCAGCACCTGGTTCAAGGACCATGGTATCCCTGTCCTTGATTGGCCAGCAAACTCGCCTGACCTTAACCCCATAGAAAATCTATGGGGTATTGTGAAGCGGAGGATGCAATACGCTAGACCCAACAATGCAGAGGAGCTGAAGACGACTATCAGAGCAACCTGGGCTCTCATAACACCTGAGCAGTGCCACAGACTGATCGAGTCCATGCCACGCCGCATTACTGCAGTTATTGAGGCAAAAGGAGCCCCGACTAAGTATTGAGTGCTATACATGCACATTCTTTTCATGTTCATTCTTTTCAGTTGGCCAACATTAGAGAAACAAACATTTTTTCATTGGCCTTTAGAATATTCTAATTTTCTGAGATACCAGATTTGATGTTTTCATTGGTTGTCACCTATAAATATCAAAATTAAACGTAATAAACATCGGAAATACATTGGTCTGTGTGCATTGCATGAATATAATGTACAAGTTTCACGTTTTGAATGGAATTACTGAAATATTTTCAACCTTTTGATGATATTCTAATTTACTGGCCAGCACCTGTATACGGCCTGACAAAAAAAGATCACAAACCAGTTTCCCACTGGTCTGACGTGAGTGTTACGCATTAACTCACTGAAACAGATGCTTAAAAGATTTCCACTGCAGTCGGACTTTTACATCCTCAATATGAAATTGAATCATCTAGAAGTAATTGATGCTAAATAAAGCGTGTGATGTTTTATTTGTCACGCAGGAATCCTGCTGATGTTCGTTACTAAATCCAAGTTTTATCAACCGTGCCAAAGTCCTTAGCTGTTAAAAATGTCAGCCAAACTGAACTTGATGAATTAAATCCAACGTTAAGAACAAATACTAACAAATAATCAAAACTCAATCATTATATAGGTTTGTTTTCTAATTTAAACATCAGTGGTGTTTGATGCAACCAGAGCTGGCTTCTGGGCTCGATGTTTGCCCACAAACGCATCGGTGCCAGGTGCTGTTTCACTCTTGTTCACCACTCAGAAGCACTTTACAGTAAAAGGCCCCTTCCTGCAGCACTCTATATTCCGTTTATAAAAATGCTGCGCTGTCCATCAGACGGGAGGACATTAGGTGTTTCGTGTTGTTGAGGTCAAAAAAGGCCTTGGATATGAAAAGCTGGATTTCAAACCAACGAAGGCTCTAATGACAGCTCGACTGCTTTAGTTTTATTCTTCTATTTATCAAAAATGTAGAAAAATATGTAGCTGACTATCTTCTTTTATAACCTCTAGATGCTTAAAACTTCTTCATAGTAAAGAAAACAGTCTAATCATCAGGGTGATGCACCAATTCAGGGCCGATATTGATTTCAATTCCAATTTATCTCAAAGAACAAAAACTACCAGAGAATATTGGATGTTTTTTCTCCAAGTTTCCATTGAAAATGAGGATTTTGGAGACAAAAATGTCCATGCAGAAAGTTTGTTATCATGGAATGCAAATGTCCACTTTTTTCGCGTGTTTAAATACCAAAGAAAATATGAAATTTTTGGGTTTCAGATTGTGCGACTGTGGTGAACGTTGTCCGATTCCGATCACCAGCCAATTCTTTTGGTGCATCTCTTACTTTAATCATTTGAGTTGACTTCTGGTTAGATTTAGTTCTTGGCACCGGAGAAAAAATATTCTACGATGGCAGGTGGAGCACTGAGCACGCTCTTATCCATCTGCAAACGCAGTACAGTGACGCATTAACGACACATAAAGCAAGAGTGACATCCAGTGGTCAAATGTGGGTACTGCAGCCCATGTATTAAAACAAACAAGTCCACACTGAGTAACTGTTGCCAGTCACGGATCAGCAGCAGAAGATTCAATGACAGTGTGGAGCAGGGGTGGAGTGGGACCAAAATTCGGCCTTGGCTTTTTTACGAATCGTCGGCCCACAGTCGGCCCTCCCCATTGGGAGAGCGGTGGGGGTGGGGGGTGTTGCCGCCCGCGGACTCGTCTCTAGGCCGAATGCAAGATCTAACATGGACTGGTACTGTTAATTACAAGCAGGGCCAGACCGCTGCGACCGGGAGCCCTGGCCTTCCAGATCAGTTCATTGTCCACGGGCGGAGATCAGCAGGACATTAGCTACATGCTAACGCGGTAAAATAACTATTATGTCATTGCTCTACCGCATTTTTCTTGCTAAAAATGCCTGGAAAAACTCTGTTAGCTTCGGGTTACCATGTAGCTAATGTTCTGCAGATCACCAACTGTAGAGTAGTGTCGACCCAAGCTGGGTAAGCAGCCCACTTGGCTAAGCGGCCCACCGGGACAGTGCCAGAATGCCAGATAGGCCAGTCCACCCCTGGTGTAGAGTGAAGATGAGTCGTACACAGTAACTTGATACATTTCAGTTTAATATCGAGTTGTTGGTCATCGAAAAAAATAGGTTGAGATATTTTTAGAGTCGATCGACCATTAGCACGGTTAGTGCAAAGTTAGCCTCTAGCCTTCTTTACTCGATATTAGAGTAAAACAAAAAAAGTTTTAATTTCTTTGGCTTCTAGGTCACTCTTAACTCTTCTACTGCAGTTGGGTCGGCGCCAACACAACCACAGTAGAAGAGTTAAACTGGCTTCCATTTTGTGCACAACACTGCTGTTCTTCGATGGCAAGTGTCGCATTGCAAATGTCGAAGTAGCAGTGTTTACCAGCAAAGACTTGGCAGTCTTGCGGGCTCACATATGATTGGCTCTGGCACCAGGAAGTATAGAGGTGGGGCAGACTGTAAACAAAGACTTTCTTCCTCTTCGGTCCCAGCCAGCTGAGAAGGGAATCTGTTTCAATGTAACCTTCCTTCCAGCATGATTGCGACATTAGACCATTTTGTGAATATTTCTTACATACTGCACCTTTAATGTGCACAACTGAACATTTGAATTCTACACAGCTGGGACAATTTTACAACCCAAGCACATTTTGTTGTTTTAGCTCCTGATATGACTGTTTTTTTGTTGTTGTAATTGAGCATACTTACAAGCAGGGGGCTCCAGCAGATGCATGAGGTGACCATAATGCCAACCAGCTGCACCACCATCTCTATGTCATGAGACTTGGCTGAGTGATGGGAGCCGGGCTGCCTCCTGATCCGGGCCAGCACCAGCGTCAATCCACTAATGGTGTTACACACCATTGCCACGGCCAGTGAAGCCAAACCGAGTCCAGAAAACAGCGCCACAAACGCCACGTCCACTTCCTTTGTGTCGTTGAGCACGTTGATGAAGCACCAGGTTTTTGGTTCCTGGTAGGTGTAGGAACCCAGCTGGAAGCAGGGCAGCAAGGCCACGCACAGAGCTGCCAGCCAGATGGCAGATAGGCACAGCTTGGTGCGCGTCTTGGTGACCAGGGATGAGTGCAGCAGTGGTTTGGTCACACCCAAGCATCGCTCCGCAGCCATGGCACATCCCATAAAGAGCGGGCACAAGCCAAAGAACACCATGCTGCCACCCAGGAACTGACACATGCCATCAGAGGAGTCAAAGTCCTCAGGGCTCACACCTCCAATCAGGTAGAGTCTCAGAACCAGGGCGCCAGGAATCACATGGCCGAAGAAGTCTGTGATCACCAGAGAAGTGGCAAACAGGAGGAATGTAGCCTTGGAGCGCCGGCGCTGCAGAGAGTAAGCGTTCACCAGGATGAAGAGAGCCACAATGTTGGAGATGATGCCCAGAGACATGGACAAGGCAACAACGATGGTGCCGCTGGTTTGGTTCTGGTCAAAGGTAACATTTTCCTGCTGCCCTAAAGTTGTCACCATGGTTTCCATTTCCCCCACTCCTCCATTTACCAGGCGAGGCAGGAACAGGGAGGCTGAGGAGTTGAAGTGGCTCACCGCTAACATCTGTGAAGTCTAAAGCTCCAGGGGCCCATCATCAAAGGAGGCTGCAAAGGAGAAGAGAAACGTGGTCCAAAGTCACCATATTCATGTTAAAGCAGAAGGAAATCTGAATAAATGAGACGTGAAACAAACAGCGTTTCTGCACGCTGCCTCAAAAACAGAACGAGGGAATGAGCTATGAGAGGAATGTTTATAAGCTCTGATTTAAGGGAATCACGGGAACACTGAAAAATTTTAAATCATAACGTCATTTAAAGATCTCCTTTTAAGGTGTACTGTCCTTATGTTGATGTTTATTTGACTTGTGTTATTATTTGAATAAATAACAGGTGTGATTTTACAAATAACAGTTAGATCTTACATAAAAACTTTAGTTAGTGAATAGGGCCAAGAATCTTTAGTGTTTTTTCTTTGGGGCGAGTGCTCAGTTTCCTTATTTTTCCTCTTCAGCCTGAAGCTAACTGGGAGCAAATTCTTTAAAAGTCCTAAAAATGGGTTTCCCAAACATGCTTAGTTTAGGTTTACAGTTAGTAGATTTGGACTTCTGTTGTTTAGAAAAATAAAAGTTGTGATTTTATACATTTTAGTTAAATCTCACATAAAAGTATTAGCTGGTGTTTACTTGTGTTTAAGAATCATTTTTTTGAGTGCAGATTTGGGACAAAAAAACAAAACCAAATGGGATTTTTTATACTTTTAAATTAATAAAGTCTTGTTTCCTCCAGATGAATGCCTATATGTGTATAATTTGCACCAGTTGTCCCATTTTATATAAAGTACTGCTGATTAAAGATCTTTCAAACCACCTTATAGGACTTTTAATCAGAAAAACATTTTTGGTTTTACATTTAAATTTTCTTTTACTCCGAAACGTTTTCATTAAATTATTATGATGTAAAAAATTAAATAAAAAATAAAAAAAAAGAACAAAAACTCACCAACGAGATTTTCTTCTTCAGTCCTGATTTTTTTCTTGCAGAAACCAGAGAAGGGAAACAACTGAGTGAAGCTGAAGTCATGTTTCTCTGCGGGTAAAATCCACCTCTGCGGTAGAAGGAGTCGTCTCCAGGAGCGCGTTTCCTCCGCAGGCTCCGCGTCGGTGTCTCATGACGATCTGGCTGAGAGACGCGCAAACACCGTCTGGTGGTTTTATACACGCTGTTCTTCAGCCTGTGTGGGCGGGCGTCTTTGTTTCTGCGCGTCTCCAGTTAGGTTCAAGTCTGCTGCAGTCTGTTTACATTACCTCTATCATCACTTATGAATAAAAAAAAGCAAAGATCAGGTCTGTTTTACCTCAGACGTCCTCCAAAGTTGACAGGAAATAGTTAATGAGCCTCCTTGTAGCTCATTCTGATGCTGAAGATGTTTTTAAGCTCCTGGGTCGATCTGGAGAGATTCGGTTCCACGTCTGCATCATTATTTTTGCTGCTGGATGCGCAACTGTGCGCTCAAAATAACCTCTGGAATATCAGTTGTCCAGCCTGATCCTGGGTCAGCAGACAGCAGGGAGGTCAGAGTCAGGATCTGAATAAATGACATCAGTCTGCTGCAGAAAGGTCAGATTTTTTCATCCAGAATTGGAAAAAGTCAGAAAAACAAGTGGATGAATCAGGTTTAGAGAGATTGTTTCATTATCAGTGGATCTTTGGGGACATTTTAGGAAATTATAAAAGAAAAAAAGAACCTCCACATCCTTTAAAAATGTCCTAAATGTTTCTGTTTCTGCATCTGCTCCCTGAAAAAGACATTTATCCTCTGGTAAATAAAAAAAATGTCACAATCAGGTTTAGTTTCCATGCAGACTGAAAACAGGTGTTTCACCATTTTGGGTCAAAAGCTGAGGTTTGGAAATCGGCCAAAGCAACACATCAAATTGGCTGCTGGTGAGCAGGAAGCGGGTCTTTGGGGCTGTTGCACAAATCGATCTACACAAACATTTAGTTTGTAATTGTGATCAAACGCAAAAGAACAGGTGAGAAAAAAAACCCATCAATTAACCGTTTGAGAGAAGGAGAGATGTTCCAAATGTTGATAAAATAACTACTAAACTTTATTTATATAGCGCCTTCGCATGGCCCAAGGACCAAACAAAGCGCTGCACAGCAGAAATGAACATAAAGAAATAAAAACATATAAAACCATTTAAAAACCAACAAAAACATCTAGGAGAGGGAGCAAAAAGTGCAAAGCCACCCATTAACGAGACTCCTCTTGCGTAAAAGCCAAGGAATAAAAGTGTGTTTTCAGACGGCTCTTGAAATTGCCGAGCGTGATGGCCTGTTTGACGCAGGTAGGTAGCTCATTCCAGAGCCTCGGCCCCAGCACAGAGAAAGCACGAGCTGAGTGACTTCTTGTTTCTATTTTGATTTTAAGGTGAAGCACTTTGGGCACCTTCGGGCTGCGTAAAGCGGTTTACAGTTCAGCTTTGATTGATTGGCTAGTTGGTTGGTTGAAACGCTAAATTTGAAGGAAAGAAGAAGAAGAAGAAAGAATTCTATATAGCTCCTCTCAAGATAAAAGTCACAAGGCGCTTCACAGGAACAAAAAAAATTTAATTAAATTAAAAAAAGATTAAAAATGTGACTGAAAATGTAAGGAAAGGGAGAGAGAAAATGAAACTGAGTAAGAAAAAGATAATGAGTGGATCCAGCGAAAGGCAAAATAGGTAGAAAGAGGGAGGGGATGAAGGTCCCACCAAAGCCTGAACAGGTGAGTTTAAAGGAGACCACTGAGTCCACTGGTCTCAGGCTCAGGGGGAGAGAGGTCCAGAGTCTGGGGGCCACAGCAGCAGATGATCTGTCACCTTTGACCTTTAGAAAGGTAGAATTTAAACATCAGTGTCGGTCAAAATGACCATTTAAATTCCCAAACTGACAAGAAGCCATACAAAGCAGAACAGATGGATCAAAAAATCTTTCAGCTGTACTCTTTTTGACATTTGATCTTCAGAAGGAAGGTTTGAATAAACTAGGGTGGTTTTAATGTGCCTAAGTGGCATTTGGGAATACTACTACTACTCGTCGTCGTCGTCTTCCTCCGCTTATCCGGGTCCGGGTCGCGGGGGCAGCATCCCAATTAGGGAGCTCCAGGCCGTCCTCTCCCCGGCCTTGTCCACCAGCTCCTCCGGCAGGACCCCAAGGCGTTCCCGGAACAGATTGGAGATGTAACCTCTCCAACGTGTCCTGGGTCGACCCGGGGGCCTTCTGCCGGCAGGACATGCCCGAAACACCTCCCCGGGGAGGCGTCCAGGAGGCATCCTGACCAGATGCCCAAACCACCTCAACTGGCTCCTTTCGATCTGGAGGAGCAGCGGTTCTACTCCGAGTCCCTCCCGAATGTCCGAGCTCCTCACCCTATCTCTAAGGCTGAGCCCGGCCACCCTACGGAGGAAACTCATTTCGGCCGCTTGTATCCGCGATCTCGTTCTTTCGGTCATTACCCAAAGCTCATGACCATAGGTGAGGATTGGGACGTAGATCGACCGGTAAATCGAGAGCCTGGCTTTCTGGCTCAGCTCCCTCTTCCCCACGACAGATCGGCTCAGCGTCCGCATCACTGCAGACGCCGAACCAATCCGCCTGTCGATCTCCCGATCCCTCCTACCCTCACTCGTGAACAAGACCCCGAGATACTTAAACTCCTCCACTTGAGGTAGGACCTCTCCCCCGACCCGGAGGTGGCAAGCCACCCTTTTCCGGTCGAGAACCATGGTCTCAGATTTGGAGGTGCTGATCCTCATCCCAGCCGCTTCACATTCGGCCGCGAACCTACCCAGCAAGAGCTGAAGGTCAGAGCTGGATGAAGCTAGGAGGACCACATCATCCGCAAAAAGCAGAGACGAGATTCTCCTGTCACCAAACTCGACACACTCCACACCACGGCTGCGTCTAGAAATTCTGTCCATAAAAGTGATGAACAGAACCGGTGACAAAGGGCAGCCCTGGCGGAGTCCAACCCTCACTGGGAACAGGTCCAACTTACTACCGGCTATGCGGACCAAACTCACGCTCCTCTGGTAAAGGGACTGAATGGCCCTTAACAGAAAGCCACCCACCCCATACTCCTGGAGCGTCCCCCACAGGGTGCCCCTGGGGACACGGTCATAAGCCTTCTCCAAATCCACAAAGCACATGTGGATTGGTTGGGCAAACTCCCAAGCCCCCTCCATCACCCTTGCAAGGGTATAGAGCTGGTCCACAGTTCCACGGCCAGGACGAAAACCACATTGCTCCTCCTCTATCTGAGATTCAACTATCGATCGGACCCTCCTCTCCAGTACCTTGGCGTAGACCTTTCCAGGGAGGCTGAGGAGTGTGATCCCCCTATAGTTGGAACACACCCTCAGGTCACCCTTCTTAAAGATGGGGACCACCACCCCGGTCTGCCACTCCCTAGGAACTGCCCCCGATGACCACGCAATGTTGTAGAGACGTGTCAACCATGACAGCCCTACAACATCCATAGCCTTGAGATACCCAGGACGAACCTCATCCGCCCCCGGGGCTCCGCCGCTGTGTAGTTGTTTGACTACCTCAGCAACTTCTGCCCCCGAGATCGGACAGTCCATCCCCAGGCCTCCCAGCTCTGGTTCCTCCTCGGAATGCGCATTGGTGGGATTGAGGAGCTCCTCAAAGTATTCCTTCCACCGTCCGACTATAGCCTCAGTTGACGTCAGCAGCTCCCCATCCCCACTGTAAACAGTGTGAGCGAGTTGCTGCCTTCCTCTCCTGAGGCGCCGGACAGTTTGCCAGAACCTCTTTGGAGCCGATCGATAGTCTTTCTCCATGGCCTCACCAAACTCCTCCCACGCCCGAGATTTTGCCTCGGCAACTGCCACTGCTGCACCCCGCTTGGCTATCCGGTACCTGTCTGCTGCCTCCGGAGACCCACAGACCAGCCACGCCCTGTAGGCCTCCTTCTTAAGCCTGACGGCTCCCCGAACCCAGAGTGAGGGGGTTGCCACCACGACTGGCACCGGCCACCTTACGACCACAGCTAGCAACAGCCGCCTCGACAATCACAGAGTGGAACAAGGCCCACTCGGACTCAGTGTCCCCCACTGCTCTCGGGACGTGGTCAAAGCTCTGCCGGAGGTGGGAGTTGAAGACCGTCTTGACAGGTTCTTCTGCCAGGCGTTCCCAGCAGACCCTCACTATGCGTTTGGGTCTGCCAGGTCTACGCGGCATGTTCCCTTGCCATCTGATCCAACTCACCACCAGGTGGTGATCAGTTGACAGCTCCGCCCCTCTCTTCACTCGGGTGTCCAAAACATACGGCCGCAGGTCAGATGATACGACTACAAAATCTATCATCGACCTGTGACCTAGGCTGCCCTGGTACCAAGTGTACCGGTGGGCATCCTTATGTTCGAACATGGTGTTCGTTATGGCCAAACTGCGGCTTGCACAGAAGTCCAATAACAAAACACCGCTCGAGTTCAGATTAGGTGGGCCGTTCCTCCCAATCACACCCCTCCAGGTCAAGCTGTCATTGCCCACGTGAGCATTGAAGTCCCCCAGCAAGACAATGGAGTCCCCTGATGGAGCACTATCTAGCACTCGTCCCAGGGACTCCAAAAAGGGTGGGTACTCTGAACTGATATTTGGCCCATAAGCACAAACAACAGTCAGGACCCGTTCCCCGACCCGAAGGCACAAGGAAGCTACCCTCTTGTCCCCCGGGGTAAACCCCAACACACAGGCAGAGAGTCTCGGGGCTAACAAAAAGCCAACCCCAGCCCTCCGCCTCTCACCCGGAGCAACTCCAGCAAAGTAGAGTGTCCAACCCCTCTCCAGGTCTCGGGTTCCAGAGCCAATGCAATGTGTCGAGGTGAGTCCGACTATATCTAGCCGGTACCGCTCAACCTCTGCCACAAGCTCCGGCTCCTTCCCCGCCAGCGAGGTGACGTTCCATGTCCCAAAAACTAGTTTTCTTGTCTGGGGATTGGACCGCCAAGGCTCCCGCCTTGGTCTGCCACCCGATTCGCATTGCACCGGACCCTTCATGTTCCTCCTGTGGGTGGTGGGTCCACAGCTGGACGAGCCCATGTATCCAGTTCGGGCTGGGCCCGGCCGGGCCCCATGGGAGAAAGCCCGGCCACCAGGCGCTCGCTCACGGGCCCCAACCCCAGGCCTGGCTCCAGGGTGGGACCCCGGTAACCCTCTGGGCCGGGTACTCCGACTCTTCGTTTTAACCGCCATGAAAGATCCTTCGAACCGTTCTTTGTCTCACCCTTCACCTAAGACCAATTTGTCATGGGAGAGCCTACCAGGGGC